GTCGGCCACCTATGACTCACTTCTGTCAATTGGTGACGACAAGAAAATCGCTAATGCCATTTTAATTTATTTAGTTATGGGCAAAGTCGATCCTACCACAAAAAAGAAGTGGGAAGAGCAGCTCGACTACACAACGCTCCCACTATGGCGAGATTGTGAGACTGCTCTTAACAGACGCTACCAGCATATTGTTGCTGAAGAAGCTAGTAAAGCTCAAGCGAAGGGCAGCCAGTCGAGCAATAACACTCAGACTCAAAAAGTAAAAAATGCTAGCAGGATAAATCATTCGTTCGTTGCTGCCAAAAACGAACAGAATAACCTTTGTCAGTTTTGCAATTCAGCTGACCATTCGATTGGCAATTGCCAGGCATATATTGCCTTGTCAGTGCAGCAAAGGTTTGACTTCGCTAAAGGTGCGCCTTTGTGCATAAACTGTCTCCGACGAGGCCACACAGTAGCGAAGTGTAAGGCAAAGAAATGTAGCGTGTGCCAACGTTCTCATCACACACTGCTACATATTTATACTGCTAGCACAAATCTTGCATTACCACCACCCTCTCAGCCACCACATCTTCAAGATAGCTCTTCCACTTCGCATGCCATGCATGCGACTGCTTCGGATAGAGTGGTTCTTGCAACAGCAGTCGTGAGCGTTAAAACGAAAAGTGGCGATTTCGTTTTAGCAAGAGCATTGTTAGATTCTGGGTCACAAGTCAACTTTGTGACTGAGGATCTAGCTCAAAAGCTACAGCTCAGACGAGAGGATACGTGTATGGTCTTGCGCGGCATTGGAGACACCAATGCGCGTGCCAAGAAAAGAATTCATACAGTGGTGAAGTCGCGTGTCAATTGTAGCGAGTTTTCCGCAGATTTTTGGATCTTGGGATCGATTTCTGGTTATCATCCCGATCAAGCGGTGAACACCAGCGGGTGGAGGGTCCCCAAAAATATTCAATTGGCCGATCCTCAATTCCATAAGCCGCAAAAAATTGATATGCTAATTGGAGCAGAGTCATTCTTCGACTTATTGTCGGTAGGCCAAATAAAGCAAGGCCCTGAGGCTCCCACATTACAAAAAACGCTTCTCGGCTGGATAGTGTCAGGCAGATGCTCTACTCAACCTACAACGAGTATAGAAGGAGCAGTGAATTTAAGTTGCCAAGAAGAACAATTACTTTCGATAGACTCAACGATACAAAAGTTTTGGTCCATTGAGGACTTGCCTAATAATTCGAAAGTTCTCTCACCTGAGCAACAGCTTTGTGAACAACACTTTGTTGATAATACAAAAATCTTGTCGTCTGGTCGATTTCAGGTACGGTTACCTTTTAAATCTGACCCAAAAAATCTTGGCTCATCGTATGAAATTGCGAAACGTCGTTTTTTGTCGCTTGAAAGGAGGTTGTCAAAAGACCCTCAAATGAAAAGCATGTATCTGGAATTTATGGACGAGTATGTTTCGCTCGGTCACATGTCCTCAACGGACAACAAAATTCCAGATACTCCACACTATTTTATTCCGCATCAGTGTGTCCTGCGGCCTCAAAGCACGTCGACCAAGTTGCGTGTCGTTTTCGATGCCTCTTGCCGCACGTCCACTCAGATTGCGTTGAATGATACCTTAATGGTCGGTCCAACAATTCAGGAGGAGCTTTATTCTACGCTGCTTCGTTTTCGTTTGCGAAAGTTCGCCTTAGCGGCAGACATTAAAAAAATGTACCGTCAGGTGATGGTGCACGAAGCAGATAGAAACTATCAGCTCATAGTGTGGCGAAGAGATCCGTCTGAGTCTTTGAAAATCTTCAGGTTAAACACTGTAACATATGGCACGTCGCCAGCTCCGTTCTTGGCGGTGCGGTGTTTAACAAGGCTGAGTGAAATGGTCCGTTCCTCACATCCAACAGCTGCTGAAGTTATTCGGAGCGACTTTTATGTCGACGATATGTTAACTGGTGCTGAAAGCGTTGAACAGCTAAAAAAGCTTCGAGCAGAAGTGTCGCACGTTCTTCAAAGTGCAGGCTTCGAATTGGCAAAGTGGTTTTCGAACTGCTCGGAACTGTCCGCTTTTGATAGCACAGTTATTCCAGTAGCCACAGTCGACTCAGACCCAACCAAAACGCTCGGCGTTATGTGGTTGCCGAAGGAAGATGTATTTCAGTTCCAGTTGGAAAATTCCTTCCTAGATCTCCACTCGACAAAACGGAACATATTATCGGTGACTGCCAGGCTTTTCGATCCTCTGGGCCTTCTTTGCCCGCTGATCACCAAAGCAAAAATGTTGCTGCAAGATTTGTGGCTACAAAAACTAGATTGGGACGAATCCATCCCTGAGAATCTTCATACAGTTTGGGACTCATTTAAGCAGAATTTGTTGAACCTCAGCGATATTCAAGTCCCTAGATTCGTCCATACAGATACGCAGTCACCCATTCAAATACATGCGTTCGCCGATGCCTCAATGCGAGCTTATGGCGCCTGTATTTATGTTCGTGTTTCGACTGCGAATGGTTGGAAAGTGTCACTTTTGACCTCAAAATCCAAAGTAGCTCCACTCAAGACGAAAACTTTGCCTCGTCTTGAGCTGTGTGCAGCTCACCTTCTCGCAGATCTTTTTCGTCAAGTCCGCCCGTTGCTTAATTCTCCAATAGACAAGATAGTTATGTGGACTGACTCGGAAATAACGCTCCACTGGATCAAGTCGCATCCGTCGGCATGGTCAGTTTTCGTTTCAAACAGGGTTTCTCAAATCCAAGAGTGGTCCGAGAATGCAACGTGGCGACATGTCCCAACGAAATCCAACCCAGCAGACATCGTGTCCAGAGGATGTAATGTAGACGAGTTGCGTAGCTCCATTTGGTTTACAGGGCCACCCTTCCTCATGGAATCGGAAGAAAATTGGCCTGTGAATGCTCACTTCGAGCCGCCTAAAAATTCAGCTGCCCTAGAAATTCGTAAGTCTGCTGTAGTTTTACTCGCAGATCGGCAAGCCAATTATATTCTCGAAGTTATCGAAAGCTACTCGTCACATTCAAAATTGCTGAGGGTGTTCGTTTGGGTTTTTCGATTTATACAAAGGTGCAGAAAAGTCTCGAAGCCCTTTGATCCTATAGCCAAGCCAAGCGAACTCAATTTGGTATTCAACAAAATTGTTCAAGTCATCCAGAACAATGAGTTCGGTGACGAAATTGACAAGATTCGAAAAAAGAGAACACTAAACGCTAACTTACAGCGTCTGAGTCCATTTCTACATGAGTTTGGAGAAGACGGTTTCTTGTTTTCCTTGCTGAGAGTGGGGGGAAGATTATTAAATGCTCCTATCCCGTACGAAGCCAAGTTTCCGTTGTTGCTTTCTAAAAAGTCGCAATTCATAAGATCGTACGTATCTTATTTGCATGTGTCAAATTGCCATGCTGGCCCTAGATCGCTGGTGAGCCTGCTTCGTGAGCGAGTTTGGCTGGTTAACGCTCAGGAAGTGTGTCGCCGAACAGTACGTTCGTGCATCCTCTGCTTCAAATGGAAGCCCCGGTTGGCCTCCCAAGTAATGGGAAATCTTCCGGCAGACAGGCTCCAGCCGTTCCACCCGTTCGAAGTATGTGGTGTTGATTTTTGTGGCCCTATAAGCACAACGCTCCGCATCCGTGGCAAGCCACCGTACAAGTCGTACGTGGCTCTTTTCGTTTGTTTTGCCTCGAAAGCGGTTCACTTAGAGCTTGTGTCAGATCTAACCACTGATGCTTTTCTCTTGGCTTTTGAAAGGTTCGTCGGCAGGAGAGGCGTCCCTCGCAAAGTTTACTGCGACAACGCAACGAACTTCGTGGGAGCCGACAGGAAGCTGCAGGAGTTCCGAGCAAGATGGGAGAAGGAGGCGGAAGGCGTACGCGAATTCGCATCAAGAAAAGGATGCGAGTTTGCGTACATACCACCCAGAGCGCCTCACTTCGGCGGTCTATGGGAGGCAGGTGTCAAGTCTGCAAAGCACCTGTTCCTACGGACGGTGGGCAATGCGCTCCTGACCGCAGAAGAGCTCGGAACACTCCTGGCGAGCGTCGAGGCCGTGCTGAACTCTCGGCCACTGGGACCACTCAGCGCGGACCCCAGCGACGGCGAGGCGCTAACCCCGGGCCACTTTCTGATCGGGCGGCCTCTTCTGGCGACTCCAGCTCCACCGCTCCCGGACATCGACAGCCAAACCTGCTTAAGGCGATGGCGCAATGCCTCGTGTCTCAAGCACAGGTTTTGGCAGCGATGGTCCCGGGAGTACATTTCGAGCCTCCAGGTGCGAGCGAAGTGGTTCCAGGAGGAACCCAACGTCGTCGTGGGACAACTCGTCGTGGTGGCCGAAGACAACGTGCCGCCACAAAAGTGGATACTTGGCAGGGTCACCACAACTCACGCCGGGACAGACGGGAAGGTGCGGGTGGCCGACGTCGCCACGAGTAGTGGCAATCTACGGAGGGCTATTCATCGGCTGGCGCCATTGCCCGTTGAAGGACGATGTCCCTCCAAGGGGGCCGGTGTTGGCGCAGATGCTGCTTTAGATTAAGATAGTTTAAGAGAATTATTTGAATTTTAGTTTAGGGCGAAAAGAGAGCGCGAGAGCGGCCGTTTGCGGACGTCGCCTCGCGCCCTTTTTTCGCCGCCTTAGGCTTAGTTTAGCATGTAAGCCTAATTTGAAGTCAGTTGTAAAATAGAACTAAATATAAGCACAATCGCCGCCGTATCGTTTCGTCATTTTCGATATTAAAGATAAAATTAAAAGCAAGCGTCCCATATTTCTTTGTTTAAATAATTTATATAAAATAATATAAATTTTCAAATATATTTGCTGCTGCAGCGCTGCTCAATTATCAATTACCAATTATGAAATTGTTTGTTATTGTTTTAAAAATATGAAATATAAATATTAAGTGTTCATTTGAAATAAAAAATTTTTGTTTATATTAAATAACTGCAAAGATATAGACCATTAAAGTCCAAAGTAAAGAGTGTACGAATAATTGTTGGTTTCACTGTATTTCAACATACGCCTGCCACATCTTTATTTCTTTTTTACGCATGTCCACATTTACACATATAACACCACACACTGCGCAGACGTATCCGTAAAACACTTGTTGATAATCCTGGCATTGGTATCTGGAACGGGTATTTGTTGTAAATACACAATTGTACTAACACGACAATAACACAACAACTCACCTATATAAAGAGTGCGCCCTACAACAAGACAAGTTCAGAGGCGCAGGCGCATATCTTAGCATCTTCGCCAGGTCACCAGGCGCATATTCGATCAGCTTCACCGCCACGAACGCGCGTTCCCGACATCGAATTTCAAAATTGCCGCTTTTAATTATTACCCACACATTTCGCTGGTTAGTGGTTCGCATCAACAGTTATCGATACCAACTATTGGTGACTGAAGTCACGGTCACAATATTGGCCCCCTGCACTCGGTTTTTCTGCATGTTTTTCCGCGCCCCCTCCATTTAAAATTCAAAATAAATAAAGCACTGGAAAAACAATCAAAATTAGTTTTATTAAATATACATAAAATACTATTTTCAGCTGCTTTATTTCTTTTGCAACCTATTAGCGCCTCCAACAAGAATAACAAGTAAAAAAGCTAAAGTCGGGTGTCCCGACTTTGAAATACTCTGTACATATGTTTACAATAATTATAGAAAATAAAAAAATTACGAAAATAAAAAAAAATTCAATGATCGATTTTACCTTTCTCGGTATTCGAACTCACGTAAAGGGTGTACAATTGCACATTTACATAGCAATTGCGTCTGTGTGAGTGTATGTATGCCTATGCGCATCTATTCGTGTCTGTGTAAGCATTTTCGCAGTCAACCAAACAGCAACATCAACAACAGCCGCGGGCAGCGCTTGAGCAGCGCTGCAGCAGCAAATATATTTATGGCTATAACTTCTTGGTAAATCGGTCTATCATAGTGAAACTTGGCATACGGACACATAATTACTAACTGGGGGTATTTTCAAAATTTTAGTTCGAAATTCCAAGAATTACGGGAGTTACGATTTGCGTGGTAGAGGGGGGAGGGAGGGGAATTCCAAAATATACATTTTCTGCGTATTCACACAAAGCATCTTGGACTAAAATTTGGTGTGCCTAGGTCTTATAGTCTCCGAGATATAGGCGATTATACGAATGGAAAATCGGGAAAACCCCCATAGGGGGGGGGGGGGGGGGGGGGGGAAATCAAAAAAATAAAACAAACTCGTATAGAATACACACATAACGCATCTTTGTGGAAAATTTGGTGTCTCTATCTCTTATAGTCTCTGAGATCCAGGTGTTCATACGGACGGACAGACGGACAGACAGACAGACAGGGCTAGATCGACTCGTCTTGTCACGCTGATCAATAATATATATACTTTGTGGGGTCTGCCACGCCTCCTTCTGCCTGTTACATTTTTCAGCTCCCGCAACCCTAATATACTCTTGTACATTTCATGTACAGAGTATAAATATTGCGAAGGAGGCGTATAAATCGTCTACAGAGGCACATAAATCGTCCACAGAAGTGATTGTGGGGCTGCTGTTAGAAAAATTGGTTCAACAAAATTCCCTGTTTTAAAAACTGTTACAAATAAATATATAAAAAGGAACATAAGTGGAATTCTTTATTTCGCCACAGTGGCTTTTTTGGTTTTTGTTATTTGTTACGCCGCAGACTGGATGCGATTTCATTGTGAATCCGATCCTCCTTGTTGTCCACTTTGTGCTTCGTTATCGTAACCAGCCTCATTATTTGCATCGACTGGGATATCACAGGGAATGCTGTAATCACATATAAGAGTTATATGAAACACTAGCAGGTCTTGCCCGTCTTTGCTGGGCTAAGTAAAATGTGCTCTTCTTTCGACGCTCTCTAAAGTTATTTAAAGAGTTCATTTTCCAACAAGTAAAAAAGCTAAAGTCGGGTGTCCCGACTTTGAAATACTCTGTACATATGTTTACAATAATTATAGAAAATAAAAAAAATTAAGAAAATAAAAAAAAAAATTTGATCGATTTTACCTCTCTCGGTATTCGAACTCACGTAAAGGGTGTATAATTGCACATTTACATAGCAATTGCGTCTGTGTGAGTGTATGTATGCCTATGCGCATCAATTCGTGTCTGTGTAAGCATTTTCGCAGTCAACCAAACAGCAACATCAACAACAGCCGCGGGCAGCGCTTGAGCAGCGCTGCAGCAGCGCTGCATCAGCAAATATATTTATGGCTATAACTTCTTGTTAAATCGGTCTATCATAATGAAATTTGGCATACGGACACATAATAACTAACTGGGGGTATTTCCAAAATTTTAGTTCGAAATTCCAAGAATTACGGGAGTTACGATTTGCGGGGTAGAGGGGGGAGGGAGGGGAATTCCAAAATATACATTTTCTGCGTATTCACATAAGGCATCTGGGACTAAAATTTGGTGTTCCTAGGTCTTATAGTCTCCGAGATATAGGCGATTATACGAATGGAAAATGGGGAAAACCCCCATAGGGGGGAAGTGGGGGGGAAAATCAAAAAAATAAAACAAACTCGTATAGAATACACACATAACGCATCTTCGTGCAAAATTTGGTGTCTCTATCTCTTATAGTCTCTGAGATCTAGGTGTTCATACGGACGGACAGACGGACAGACGGACAGACAGACAGACAGGGCTAGATCGACTCGTCTCGTCATGCTGATCAAGAATATATATACTTTGTGGGGTCTGCCACGCCTCCTTCTGCCTGTTACATTTTTCAGCTCCCGCAAACTTAATATACTCTTGTACATTTCATGTGCAGAGTATAAAAAGCAAATATAGTACAATAAGACCTATGTATGGTTATACGTACATACATACATATGTACATATCTTCGTTACGCACCGGGCGGACTGCCAGTCCTGACTTAACTGTGTGCTTTCTCAGCATGTTGTACGCACGGTCGAGTTATCCCCGAAAAGTCCGACGCAGGACATTTAATTTTGATTTATAAATCGGGACGTCCCGCCAAAATTGGAGCGTTCGGCAACACTGATATGTACATACATTTAAATTTTTCATGCAGGCGTTATCCGCCTATATACATGTACATACATACATACATACATATATAAGTATGTATTAAATTACTTAATTCAACACTAATTTGTGTCTTCAATTCCAAATATGATTGTTGTGAATGTAAAAGGTGTGTTTCTGCTTTTGTAAATCGCATGAATACACTCACAAAATAAGCTTAACGGTAAATGACTCTTAGATTTGTTCAGAATACATTTGTAGCGTTGATAGCAGACCCCACAAAGTATATATATTATTGATCAGCGTGACAAGACGAGTCGATCTAGCCCTGTCTGTCTGTCTGTCCGTCTGTCCGTCCGTATGAACACCTGGATCTCAGAGACTATAAGAGATAGAGACACCAAATTTTCCACAAAGATGCGTTATGTGTGTATTCTATACGAGTTTGTTTTATTTTTTTGATTTTCCCCCACTTCCCCCCTATGGGGGTTTTCCCGATATTCCATTCGTATAATCGCCTATTTCTCGGAGACTATAAGATCTAGGAACACCAAAAAAAAGTCCCAGATGTCTTATGTGAATACGCAGAAAATGTATATTTTGGAATTTCCCTCCCTCCCCCCTCTACCCCGCAAATCGTAACTCCCGTAATTCTTGGAATTTCGAACTAAAATTGTAAATACCCCCAGTTAGTTATTATGTGTACGTATGCCAAGTTTCACTATGATAGACCGATTTAACAAGAAGTTATAGCCATAAATATATTTGCTGCTGCAGCGCTGCTCAAGCGCTGCTCGCGGCTGTTGGTGATGTTGCTGTTTGGTTGACTGAGAAAATGCTTACACAGACACGAATTGATGCGCATAGGCATACATACACTCACACAGACGCAATTGCTATGTAAATGTGCAATTATACACCCTTTACGTGAGTTCGAATACCGAGAGAGGTAAAATCGATCAAATTTTTTTTTTATTTTCTTAATTTTTTTTATTTTCTATAATTATTGTAAACATATGTACAGAGTATTTCAAAGTCGGGACACCCGACTTTAGCTTTTTTACTTGTTTTTATTAGATTACGTTTTTCCCATTACCAATTATGAAATTGTTTGTTATTGTTTTAAAAATATGAAATATAAATATTAAGTGTTCATTTGAAATAAAAATTTTTTGTTTATATTAAATAACTGCAAAGATATAGACCATTAAAGTCCAAAGTAAAGAGTGTACGAATAATTGTTGGTTTCACTGTATTTCAACATACGCCTGCCACATCTTTATTTCTTTTTTACGCATGTCCACATTTACACATATAACACCACACACTGCGCAGACGTATCCGTAAAACACTTGTTGATAATCCTGCGCCTCCAACAAGAATAACAAGTAAAAAAGCTAAAGTCGGGTGTCCCGACTTTGAAATACTCTGTACATATGTTTACAATAATTATAGAAAATAAAAAAATTACGAAAATAAAAAAAAATTCAATGATCGATTTTACCTTTCTCGGTATTCGAACTCACGTAAAGGGTGTACAATTGCACATTTACATAGCAATTGCGTCTGTGTGAGTGTATGTATGCCTATGCGCATCTATTCGTGTCTGTGTAAGCATTTTCGCAGTCAACCAAACAGCAACATCAACAACAGCCGCGGGCAGCGCTTGAGCAGCGCTGCAGCAGCAAATATATTTATGGCTATAACTTCTTGGTAAATCGGTCTATCATAGTGAAATTTGGCATACGGACATGGCACATAATAACCAACTGGGGGTATTTGCAAAATTTTAGTTCGAAATTCCAAGAATTACAGGAGTTAGAGAAAATCGCATTTGCGGGGGAGAGGGGGGGCGGGCGGGAAATTCCAAAATATACATTTTCTGCGTATTCACACAAAGCATCTTGGACTAAAATTTGGTGTGCCTAGGTCTTATAGTCTCCGAGATATAGGCGATTATACGAATGGAAAATCGGGAAAACCCCCATAGGGGTGTGAAGTGGGGGGGGGGGGGGGGGGGGGGGGGGGGGGGGGAAATCAAAAAAATAAAACAAACTCGTATAGAATACACACATAACGCATCTTTGTGGAAAATTTGGTGTCTCTATCTCTTATAGTCTCTGAGATCCAGGTGTTCATACGGACGGACAGACGGACAGACAGACAGACAGGGCTAGATCGACTCGTCTTGTCACGCTGATCAATAATATATACTTTGTGGGGTCTGCCACGCCTCCTTCTGCCTGTTACATTTTTCAGCTCCCGCAACCCTAATATACTCTTGTACATTTCATGTACAGAGTATAAATATTGCGAAGGAGGCGTATAAATCG